CTTGAGTTAATGGAATTTGACTGGGGATTCAAGAACCCAGGGCCTAAGACGCAAAAGTACGAGGAAGAAGGTATTTGACGTTTAAGTTATTGGTGTTTATCAGAGTTGACCGTATTCAAATGTCTGTAATCCTAACACTCTAATTCGATGATAGTATCATCATTCTTTTATTCACAAAACATTAATCCTTACATATGTCAAAAACTTCCCGAGTATCTTATGCAAATTCCGGAATTGACTAACGTACAAGTAAAAGAGAAATCTTGCGGTCTGGGCGAGTGGGATGGTCAGCTGGGCGAAATGGTGGGTTTTTTGCACTCTCTAAACATTACGAATTTCAAATTCTCGTGCTAACTATTTTTGGTATTCACATTAACAGAGTTTACGGCATTTATTCATGTGTACCAGCGCGTTTGAGGTCGTGTTCACGCGATTCACAAACATTACCCAAAAAGAATACAAAAGAAAGGTTAAAGAACTCACCAAAGAATTTGGGGTTTTCAAGACATATTGTACTAACATAAGAATGTTTGCGAAAAAAATTTAAAAACACAAGTCATGTTTATAAAAAAAAAAAAAATTTAGACTAAGCATATTATATCATTCATAGTATGATACTGGCCGGAGGATGTACATTTATTTTTTTAAAATACCTAGATTATTCTATTTTGCCAGATGTATATATATGTATAAAAAAAGAAAACCACCTCCCTCCATCTTGATATCCTTAACCGAATGAATTATCAATAGTACATTAGAAATTAAAATACACTATTTAAAAAAAAAAATCACGAAAACGTATTATCTAACTAACCCTGATGATTTAAAATTATAGATATCAAACATCATTATCATAATATATATATATTATAATAAATACCATTTTATATTTAAACACATCACACAAATAACTTATCAAAGAAATAATGACAAGGAATTCTTACTTGCTTTCAAATAAACAAATAATTAATTAAATAATTAATTAATTCATTTTATTTTTATTTGCATTCTATTTGCCATGTTTACGGTGTCTTTGTTTTAACAAAAAAATTTTTAATAATAATGTATTTAATTAAATTATCACCTGTTTTACGATGTATAGTTTCGATAATTTTGGATAATAAAAGAATGTCTTGGAACCAAAGTTCGATCTAAAGAATCTTTGACGATAAGTATGTTTTGAATATCTTTGCAAATGGAAAGGTAAAAGCATAACATAAAATTAATCTATATATAACGGTATAGTATATAATGCAATGGATTGTAGCTATTAAAAAAATTTTGCCTTTTTAAAGTTAATTCAGATTTATATCGTACAGCAATAAAAGATAAACCCAAATAAATTGATTTTTGAAAAATAATAATTGCAACATATTTTGACTGATATTTCTGTAACACGGTAATATGGTGCTTTGGATACAAAAAACACATGTAATATTACAATAGCTATAATGGGTAAACAAAATTTAATGATCGATATAAAATACATGTGTAACAAACCTTTTTATTTATTTGTTATTCAAAAACTATTACATAAAAATTAACAAATAATATATTATAATAATATAAATTTTATATAAAAATATATTTTTCAAGATTTTTTAAAATTTAATTTTGAAATTTAATTTTTTGAACATTAAAAATCAATTACAAATAAAAAATTTTAATTTGTAAATTTTTGAATTTTTGAATTTTTAAAAATTTTTTTTTTATAATATCAAAATAAAATATAAAATTCTATGACTTCATAAATTTAAATACAATAATCTTAAAAATTAATTAATAATAAATATGATATTATATCTTTTTAATAAAAAAATTTTTTTTATATTTTAATTTACAATTAATCAAAATATTAAAGTTTTTAAAAAAAATCACAAAAATTTTTATTACACATTATATAATAACATAAATTTTAAATTTTAAAATAATAATTTTCAATAATCATAAAATAAACTTAATATAATAATAGATTATTTTATAATAGAACAAAAACCATCTATTTAAATTAATTAATATCTAGTTAAATAATTATTTGTTTTAATAATAATAATAACCCCCTTTTTTTTAAGACTAAGTTGTAATATATGCATAAATTTTATTGATATTTCAATTACGATTACAATTATTTATATATGAACAGTCTACTAGCTAATAATAATAACTTTACAAAATATATTATTATTAATTTAAATTTATTAAAATATTAAGTTTAATTAAATTCTATTTTTTTTCAAAACAAATATTAATTCAAATTTAAATTTTAAACAAGTTATAAAAATAACAAATATTAAAATAATAATACTTATTTTAAAAATGATTGAAAAGAATTTTAAAACTATTTACTAATTAAATAAAACAATAATATAAAAAAAAACAACTTTTAAAAATAATAATAATAAATTATTATTTGCTTTAATTAAAAGTCTTTAAGTACTCATATATAATTTTTTTCTTAAAAATTTCCTTTATAGTAACTTTTCTCCAAAATTAAAGAAACAAATATTTTTTTTGCTTTTCAATATTCCAAAGTTTTTTATATCTTCTTTTTCTTTATTACAAGAATTTCAAGAAAATTAAAAAAATATATTGATATATTGGGATAAGACCTTTGATCAAAGAAAAGCAAATTTGAAAGTCTTGCTTTTTCTTTGAATTACATGAGAAAAGACTTGTGACAATTATTTTTTTATAAATTTTTTTTGGGATTCTTCATATTTTTTCTTTTTTCTAATATATAAACCTTTCTAAATAATTATATTTTCTGCTTGAAGAATTGCTTTTCAATTTAAAAAATCAAACTTTACATCAAAATTGTCTATATTGTTAACTTAAAAGATCAACAATATATTCAATATACATTTCTTACTATTACTCAATATATTCTACTGTATTATCAAAAACTAAAAATTTTCACTCAAAAATTTTTTATCAAAAAATCATAATCAATTTACTTTTATCAATTAATTGACATTTCAAACTTAAATAATTAAATATTACCAAATTTCAAACCTATTCTATATAATCAAAACATTAAATATTGATTGATATAAACAAATCCTATTTTGACAATATCAATTAAAACAAGATCATATCACAAAAAAATAAACCAATTAATATATTAACAAAAATATTAACAAAAATATCAACAAAAATATTAACAATATATAATCTAAGCAACATGTCAATAATACTATTATTTACTTTAGACAATAATCTGACCATTCCTGAAAGTAATATCCTACTTTAGTTAAATGGATTAACCAATATGGCATGTCTAATTCAAGATATTCCTTGTATAATAATCAGTCTTTTTTTCACTTTTCTTCTAATTATCACCAAACACTCAAATACAAACTACCATATTATCACTATAACAACAATACAATCACAATCAATTATTTATTAAAATGATATATTATTAATACTATTATACATATTGGACAGTAGTCTAGCCATTTCTGAAAGTACAACTACTATACTTCAATTAAATGAAACTATCAGCATAACACATCTAGTGATTTTATCCAAAGCATCTATAGCTTTACAATTAATTTTGTTATATATATTTTTTTGTTTAGTATTTTCTTTTTTTGTTTAATTTTTTATTTCTTATAGTCTTGTATATAAACCTGAGTAGATATTCATAACTGCTTGATACTATTTAGGATGTATATTAGTTTTAATATTTATTTTCCATATTGCTTAAATAGTTTCTATAAGCAAGCTAGTATTAGACTTATTGATCAATTGGTTATATAAGAAATATTGTCACTTTTTGCATGTAAAATAATTTAAAATTTTTATAATAATAAAGAAATAATATTTACCTACTTTAAATAAAAAAAATTAAAATAAAAATCATTAAGTATAAAATTTCAAATATTGACCTATGGGTCTATAGCACAGTAGTAATACTCCATAGGTTATTAGGAAAAGATCTGGGTTCAATCCCACCTGATTACAAAAATTTATCATCTTTATAATTGGTTGACCGGCTTCCAATTCATGTTATATTCAATCAGCTGACAATCTACTTCCAAATTTAGTTAGGCTGCATGAAGATGAGA